ATCTGTACTGAGTTTGCTCCTGCCCTCCTGTGACCCCAGAATGGTGTTAGGAACTGGGGGTTCAATGTTGAATAAAGGAGATAAACGTGTCCTTTGCCCACAGTGCAGTAGGGCTGTGGGGGAGGCCAGGGCCCAGGAGAGATGGGCCGCTGGCATTTAGGGAGTGCAGGTAGAGGCCTGGCAGGGAGTGCCCTCAGCAGAAGGCCCCAGGCAGCAGACAGGAGAACTCAGCCTGTCACAGGAAGGGAGGCCAGTGGGGCTGGGTGGGGGTTCAGCAGAAGGGGTTGGCACCTATAGGCCTGGGGGCAGCACTCTTGGTGGGAAGGAACCTCCATTGAATTACATAGGCACTTGGAAGATACCCAAGGGTGTCAGCAAGGGGAGGACGGCCTGATTTGAAATTCTGGAAGGTCACTGGTGATGTAAGGCAAGATGTGCCTCCTCCATGTGGTCCAAAGCAAGAGCTGATGGCCACAGTGTGACTTGACTGTAGGGAAGCCACGTCCTCTGAGCACTGCGACAAGAAGGGTCAGGCAGTAGGCATGCGCTCCCCTGCCTGCCCTGGAGGGAATGGGTGCAGAGTCTCAGCGCCTCCCTGAGGCAAGCAGGGCCCACCCTGTAAGGGCTGGCTCAGCTCGGCACAGGAAGGGCTGGGAGTTCTTTTTCTTTTTGTTTGTGATATTTGGAGGCACCATCACATTGCCACCACAAACTGGGGCTGGGTGACACAGGCTAGAGCAACCCTCACGGTCATGGGTACCCTTTGTGTGTACCCAAACATTCCGTCTACACCCAGAATGGCTGATGGCACAGGATGTCCTCTCACCACCAATACAGACAAGACACAGGTCATTCCATCGCCACTGGGTCCCCATGCTGCCCTTTCACAGCCGCAAGCGTTTTGTGCCTATCCACACCTCCTCCTCAGCCCCTGGCAACCACTAATCTGCTCTCCATTACTATAATTTTCTCATTTGAAGAAGTTTATATAAATGGAATTATACAGTGTATAACCTTTGGGGATTGACTTTTTCTCTTGGCCTAATTCTCTGGAGATTCACTCCAGTTGTTGAGTGCAAAAATAATTTGTTCCATTTTATGGCTGAGTGGTGTTCCATTGTGAAAACTATCCCCCCTCCTCCACCCTGGGCCATATGGTCACAAGTCTCCCTGTCCCTCCACGTCTCACCCCATCACTTCCCGCAGTCTGCAGCCCCCCTCCGCCAGCTCACTGCCCCTTCCCAATTTTTTTCTCAAGGAGAAAAGCAGTTCTGGAAAGTAGGGCTAATAGTGTTTCTCAGAGCTTCCCCCAGGAGCCCTCACAGTCCCAAGTGCTGCTTCCTGAGGACACATCCTGGCCTGTGACTAACTCCCAGAGGGCTTCACATTGGGGAGGGGGGGTCTCCCATGTTAGTCCTTTGGGTCACCAGGTGAGCACTGAGCCACCAAGTGAGGAGGAGGGCTCTGTGGGCCCTCCTCCTGTTCTGGCTCCTATTTCTCCCGTCACTGTTACCATAATGATTTCTTGACAGTTCGTCTAGTTTATCTATCCTTGTAGTATAGCACACTGCCTGCAGCTTAGTAATTGCCAAGGAAATACTTGTTGAATTAACAGTTACTAATTACCAATTACCTATGAGGCAGATTTCAATCTGTTTCTTGCACTTATGTGGAGGAAGGAGCTGGGTGAAAGCAGCCAGTGCAGGCTCAGGCCCTGTTTTTTGACGCCCGTCTCCTGTGCCTCATCCGGACTGGCTGTGCCACACTGGAGTGGGCTGTGTCACAGTGGGCTGCTGTGCCATATCCAGGTGGGCTAAACCATGTTAGGGCAGGCTGTGCCACATTAGGGGGGCTGTGTAGCTCCACCAAGCTTCCCAGGAGGGGCCAAGCATTCTCAGGTGTCTTCCCCTTATAAATGCCTGCTCAGCAGCAGAATTTTCCTGTGCAGTGACTTTGGCATCACATGCACCCTCCCACCACCTCCTAAATGCAGTTTCAGCCCTGTCACGGAGCCACCCATTGAAGCTGACTTTTTAAATCCAAATGAGTGTTTTACACATGTGGAAAGACTCTATACAGGGAATGATTATAAAGTTTGCATGTCAAATCGCCCTTATGTGCTTGCTTCCTGAATGTACCTTCCTGGGACTGCTTCATCTCTGGAGACAGTGGTGTCGGGGTAGGGGGAGGTGGAATATCGACAGGAAAGCTCCGAGGGGCTATGGGGCCAGCTCCCCAGAGCTGTCAGGAACAGCTAGTGCCCTTTGTTTGGTTTCCTTTGACTGGAGAAGAATCATTAAGTCACATAAAGCCTGAGGTATCTTATCTTTTGTAAGGCCTTCTTCCCCACCTCTCTCCCGATGCCTTGTTTGCAAAGACATGGCCCAGATAAGAGCATGAGGATCTGAGTGCCTGGCTCTCTACAGATCTAGTTCAGAGGGTTCCTCCAGCCACATACTGGCTTTCAGAAGAGCCAAGGACCAGAAAATGTGGTCATTATTGCAGACAGACTCGGCACTCCCAGCAGGCAGTGTGGAGATGTGGGCATGCCATCTGATCACCCCAGTGTCACGTCAACTCCTCCCTTCATTTCCCAGTGCTCCACAGCCATCTTTTCCCTCTCTCCTTTCAGACACTACTCTTGGAAAGGATTTACGGTGGTGTTGAGACCTAGCTCTCCCTTTAACTCACTTTGTGATTTTAAACAGGCCACACCTTAGTCTCCCCACACATGCTTGTGGCAGTACTTTGAAATAGCTACAAATATTTGTTGCTTTAAGTCCTCCTTGGCCTTGGGGCACAGGTGTGGGAAGAACATTTAAGTACATCGAGGTTTTTTCTAGACACAGGATTACAATCTCACAAAACCTGCCTCTATCCCTCCTAATTCTCTCCAACCTGGCATCAGAGGGCAAGTCTTTGAAAATCAGGAGGAACCCTTAAAGGTAAATGTAGCACCTGAAGGCTGTTGCTGCCCTACTGACTTTTTTGGGTGACCGTGACCACAGGAGTCCACCTGCTGCTTCCCCTTGATTCCCCCACTTGCTCCTGTGCATTCCTAGGCAGCAGCAGCCCCTGAAGTGGGAGCAAGGCCCGGGCACTCTCGGGGTTGCCTGAAATGAGCAGGTGTCCTGGGGCCTGGCAGTACAGCCAGAGGATGGCTGCACACCTACCGAGAGGCCCACGGTCCCGGGGAAGCCACCTGCCCCATGCTACTCGCTGGCTGGCTCTGCTCTCCAGTTGGAACAAGGTAGGCTCGTCAGGGTCAAGGATACTGAGTCACAGGCGACCCTAACCACTGCTGTGGACTGCTCCTTGTTCCCACAAGTCTGCAGAGAGCCCTGTGACACTCACTCTTGGCATGTGATGAAGTAAGGTGCTGGTCTCTGCAGCAGCTCACTGGCCTGTGTGACTGATGGCAGTCGACAGCCTGGAGCTTGCAGCACCCCTGGCACTCACTGACCCACTTTCTCTACCACGGGCTGGAAACATTTACGTAACAGATGGCTGCAGGGCCCCGCTGTCCCCCTGACACAGGAGGAGGTGTTTCTAATTAAAAAGGAGGCTGGCGCCCCTGCCTGGCACCATGAGATTCAGTTTAGGGTGCTGGGAACTCAGCCTTCCACATACTGGAGTGAGAAGGGCTTGGTGCAGGGCGCCTCTGCAGGAAGGAGTGCTTTTTTCTGATGCCACACCAGTCACTAGAGGAGAGCCTCCTCTCCTTTCCAGGGTCTTTCCTCTCGAGTGTCCACATACACTGCCCCCCTCACTGGGTGGCAGAAACGCTCTCTATCGGTGCTCCTCCATATGCAGCCAGCAGCCACACGAGGCTGTTTCCTTAACACTTAAATGTGGCTAGTGAATTTTTTATGTTAACTGTAAATAGCCACATGTAGCTAGTGGCTAGTGTACTGAACAGTGAGGACAGAGGACATTCGTATGGAAGGATGATTTTTTAAATTCTCTTGCTGTGTATTATACATTCATGTTAAAATCCTTGCTATTTGAATGTTCTAATTATGAATAATTAGAACTAGTAGTTAGAGTGTGTTGAAGTTGCCTGTAAATATATTTTCAATGTGAATGCTTATTAATGCAGAATTGGAATTAGTAACTGTCGTTTTGCCCATGCCCGGGATGCCCTTTGCAGGTGTCCCCTATATATCACATAGGTGATGGGATGTACTTTAATTCTGTGCTTTTTTTGTGTGTTTTCCTTTTAGCATATTTTTAACAGAAGTATTTTGATGAGGAAAAAATCATTTTTTTGCCTGATAAAAACCTGTACGTTGAAAGGAAAAGCTTGCTTTTTTAACCTGTAGTCTCTCCTGTGTGTGGACAGAGCCTCTCATCTTTACAGGTTACATCATAGGGCCAATGTCCAGACAGCCTGGGGGTGCATGGGGACATGCAGGTTTCACAGGACTTTTTTTCCTGAAGGATTTAGGCAGCCACACAGGCAATGTGATGTCATTAGTAAAGGGACTAAGCGTGGGTTAGTATATGAGGATCTCGCAGAGCAAGCCCTCGGTCCCTCTCATGGCTTCCAAAGCCGGGTCCTTCATTGTTCTGGCACAATTTCAGGTATGCACTGGGGCAGGTGGTAGCTCCTGGAGGCCTGTCGTGCTGTCCTGCAGGGTTGGCCCAGGGCCCCTCCCCAGGGCTTACTGGGTGACCCTGCTTCCCCTCCGGTGCCTAAAAGAGCTGTTCCTTTGTTACAGAGGCGGAAACTGAGGTCGGAGGGCTAGATGACCTGCACTTGTCATGCAGTTCCTGGGCAGTGGGGCCGGATCTGTCCCTGGAGGGCTTTCCTGAGGCCCCTTTTCCCCCACTGCCCTGTACCCCATGCCCAGCAGGTCATTCCACCAATGCCCCAGGAAGCCTTTCCCTGAGCCTCCACCTCTCACCAGCAGCCTCCTACTCCTCCAGATGCCAGGCCATCCCCAGTGTGTTGGCCGTTGATGTTCTCAGTTAGCAGCAGCTGTGCCTTCTCTTTCCAGGTGACACCATCTGGGCCCCATCTGTCCTTCCTCACTGCACCCTTGGCACCTTAAGCCACCACCCCCAGCTGCATTTTTGGAGAAAGATGGAGTCCAAGGTCTCAGAAGGTGGCCTGAACGTGACCCTGACAATCCGCCTGCTGATGCATGGAAAGGTACAGAAGCACAAGCCTTGCCTTTGTCATTCTCCTCAGAAGGAATCAGACCAGCTGGGAGGAAGGGAGGTCCCACCCATGGCTGGAGCCTTTGTTTTGTGTCATGCTTTTTTAAATTCTAAGCAATCTCAGACTTACAGAGCAGGAGAAGTCCAGCCTAAAGTACGCTTCTCCTGGAACCAGTCAAAACTAATAAGCTGCCGAGCTGCTGCTTTATCAACAAGTACCTTCGTGTGGATTTTCTACTTGCACAGGCATTCTCATCACCACCTGCACCAAGTCAGGACAGTGATGCTGATCTGTCCTGGCACCTGACCACAGACTCCACTCACGGTCCTAGTCATCCCAGCACTGCTCTTCCTAACAGGGCGCCCCAAGGTGGCCTCCCACTCCATGTCCTTTTCATGTCTCCAGCATCTTTCAACCTGGAGGACATGCCCTGGTCTTTCTTGGCCTTTCCCCTTTGAACGTTTCTGTCCAGTTCTTTTGTAGAATGTTCCTCATGTTGGCTTTTTCTGATGTTTCCTCACTGTTGGCAGGAAAGTCACAGAAGCTTTCCTTTCAGGTGGCCCAGACTTCAGGGTGTCCCATTACCAATCACCTAGTTAGAGAGACCTGCCAGGTGTCTCCACCTAGAGCTGCTTTTCTCCCACTGTTACGTAGACACTATGTAGATACCTCCCTGGTCAGCAGGCTTTCTGTGTACTCATTCGTCCACTTGTTCATGTCTGCCTGGACTCGGTGGTGGTTTTATTCGATTATTCCCCATTCTGTCATTACCCATTTTGATGCTCATATTGTTCATGACTTGGCCAGTGGGAGCCCCTCCAGGCTGGCTCTTATGTCCCTTTGATGTGGCCCATCATTTTTACAGCACTGCCTGGCTTCTGGCTCAAAACGTTGCTTATTACTCATCTTGTGCTTTCCCTGCTGAAGTCCTGGAATCAGCCATTTCTCCAAAGAAGCCTAACTTGTTTGAGGGGAGGATTGTGGTTGAGGCCCAGATCGGGGCATGTGGGGTGATCACCACCCGTGGTCTGTTATGAGTTCATGACAGAGCTGGGAAACGTACATGTGTGCCTATTATGAATATTGTGTGTGCATGTACTTGTGTGAATATTGTATTATCACACACACAAGCATACACATACACTTGCATATTTATTTACATATTGAGCTCTCTAGATTGGGCCCTAGCAGTTCACACCCCCAATGGCACAGGGTCCATCCTAGCTCCTCCACTGTCCCATGTTTGTGCCATGAGAAGCCTGACTCTCAGGATGTGCGTGGCCTTCTGCCAGGGGGCTGGCAAAAGCTCTGCCGTATGCCTGTGGCTCTGCCCACCCTAGATTTCCAGATGGAATGTTCATACTGAGAGCATCCCTTTCTGTGATGGAGAGATGATCACCAGCCTTTCCTTCCCTTGGCTGGCAGTGGCATTTGGTCAAGGCTGTGGAAGCTGGGTGTACACCATGGCAAGCAGTCTTTGGGGTCAGTTATATGGCATCTACCTCTAGCTACAGCCGTCACAACAAGCACCAAACCCTGCCCATGGGAGGTGAGGTCCCTGACCAACCACCAGAGGGGTCACTCCTTTGTGCCCAGTTGCCCTTCGCTGCCCTAGTCCCCACTGCACACGCCCTCCCCATGGCCTAGTGGAAATGTCATAATTGCTGAGGACTTTGTTGTGATGAGCACAGTGAGTTTTATTTGGAAAGATGTTGTTCTTTGCAGCTGGGAGTGGGCTGGCCCTGCCTTCATGAGATGCACGGTAGCACCATGTGGGTCTGTCCCAGGCAGGGAGGTGCTGTGATGAGCAGGCCTGGCCGGGACCATGTGTCCAAACGGTCATGGGCTCCAGGCTTTAGAACGGTGGTGGTGAGTTCAAGGTACCTTTTTAGAAGGTTAAGCACTTTTCTTGACATCACAGAATCGAGGGAGGTTTTGTTTTTCGCCTATTTCTTGCAGGGTTTCCTTTCGTCCTTAAGTGTGCCTCCCAACTTGTTTAGCTGGAAAGCCGCTGGCCATTCTCCTCTGCTCCGCTCTGTCAGTCAGAAGCAGGGCCAGGGGCAGCAGTGGCCAGATGGGCACAGGGGGACCCTCCAGACATAGAGCCTGCAGGCCCTCTCATGACTGTCTAAATGTCCCTTCCTCACTCATAACAGTGTCTGTCACAGGGGCTTCTTTTCTCCTTCTGCTGTGTAACATCAGCTTTCTATGATTTTTCCTACAGGAAGTTGGAAGCATCATCGGGAAGGTAATTATTAAGCAAACTCTCTGCCTCTGTTGGGGTTTCTGTGCTGGGGCGGGGGGAGGATGCCCACAGGGCGACAGCTTCTCCATGCAGTAAGGATCCCAGGGGAATCCCAAGACTCTCACTCTCAAGCCAACACTATGAGGCTGGTCTGAGGGCATCCTGTTCCCTGGTTCCCAGCTGGTCACTCAGCAGCACCACCTCCCACCACCCTGGTGGCCAGACCTTCCTCCTAGGCATGAGAGCCCAGTAAGAATTTCTTTACTTCCATTCCTTAGGGTGGTCACCTACCTCTGTGAGTGTTAGTGAGTCTCTTTGCATTTTCATTCCAAAATAGAAGAAACATTTCTGGGGAAAAGTCACAACTGATTTGGAGCCCGTGCCTATAGGAGAGATCAGGGTTGAGGCACTGCCCTCCTGTTGGTCCCATTTTGACCACCTCAGCGTCCCTGGTATCCCATGTGGTCCCTGTGCAGTGGGGGCACCTTCAGTGCTCAAAGTCCAGCTCTTTCCACATGTGCCTCAGGGGATCTCCCCATCCCCACCCCCGTGGTCCTGGTCCTGCTTTGCCTGTGATGAAGACGGGGACAGCTGTGACCTGGGTGTATTCCCTTCTCTACTTCATGGAGCAGGTGCCCTGGCCAAGTGTGGTGCCCAGTCAGGTCCCTAGGTCCCAGCCCATCTGCCTTCGTAGCCTCGTGCCCCTGGGTGAGCACCTGGGTTTCCTCCTCTGTGGGCTCACCCGCTGGGTGTGCTGAGGGCTCAGTGAGGCACGGTGTGTGTCAGGCTCTGGACAGCACCTGGTAGGGAGCCCTGCTTCTGAGGAGCTGCTGCTTGCTCCCCCTGGGGCACATGGGGGTGCAGGGGGCTTCTGACACCCCATGTTGCTGCAACAAACCCTCTGCTTGCCTGCAGTGGACCCCTGAGTGATTCTTCTCCCTACTGTCTAAATCTTTATTCCAGAAAGGAGAAACTGTGAAAAAGATGCGTGAAGAGGTGAGTCTGCGTGCATCAGCTGCGTTCTGTCTCCGATGGGCAGGAGGGCCGCTGCAGTCACTACACTGGAGGAGGGGCCCTCAGCAGCACGGAGGCCCCTTCCCCTCAACACCCACACCCCAGCACTTCCCTCAGGATCTGTCATGGGCAAAGTGCATCCTTACTTGCCACTTGGGTCCTTTCTCTAATTAAAATCTCACCATAGAGGGCAGTACTAGAGAGAATTTTACTGTTTAGTGCCCATCAGGGGCCCACTGGGTATGTTTGCATCAGTTGTTGGGGGAGGAGCCAACCCTTTACTTGCCCTGCAGTTTTAATCCAGTTTCTGGGGTTTGCTCAACTCCCTTTTAGAGTGGTGCTCGGATCAATATCTCGGAGGGAAACTGCCCAGAAAGAATTGTGACCATCACGGGCCCTACTGATGCCATCTTCAAGGCCTTTGCTATGATCGCCTACAAGTTTGAGGAGGTAAGATGCACTTGTCCAAGATAAACAGTGGACAGGGATGGACCCAGCAGGTTCTTGGACACCTCTTCCCCTGTGTCTGGACAAGGTCACGGCCCAGCCAACTCGGGACACCCTCTCTCAGCTACTGTCCCCTCCTCTGCTTCCCAGGACTCTCCCTGCTCTGGTCCACCTGGTAGTGGGCAGTGTCTTCCTCGTCAGGTCAGCAGGTATGCATGCCCATTTCACTGACGTGTCCTCAGGCCCTGGCCAGCACGTCCAGGCCTCATCCCTCTATAGCCACTGGCCGACTCCAGGTAGGGTAGCTTGGCCTTGATGTGGACAGATAAAGGGACACAGATGAAGGAGTGAATCCCCTATGGGTACACGTGAATGCCTATGCTCTTGTGTCAGTGAGTCACATCTTAAAGTTTTTATGGGTTTTTAATTATTTGAAATTGCCAAAAATTATTTAGAGATACATTTCATGTTTTTTATTCAGAGGTTGATCAAGCTGGAGAATACATTTTTCTGTCAAAAATGTGTCATCCTGTCTGTCCAAATGCCCCCATGCTCTGCCAGGCCCTAAAGACAAATGTCAGGCCCTGAGTCCAGGTGTCCTCTGATCTGTGCCCTGCGCCATCCATAGCAGCACCATGGCTGTTCTGACACATCTCTGTGGGCCCCTCTGTCCATCCCACCACTCTCTCCTTGTCCTTCTGAGCCTGACTTGGCCTTTAAACCTCTATAACCAGCCCAGCCTGGCTGCTGTACCCTCTCTCTGCTCACAGCCATTTTCCAGGGGGTGTGTTCCTCCATCTAGGAGCGCATGCATTTCTACACTGACCTTCTTCCCTGGGAACTGGGAGCTTCCCAGGGATGGGCTCTTGCCACTGGTCTCTGTGGCCTGTGCCCCCTACCCCCTGGCTCATCAACGGCTTGGATGAGCCTCCCATCCACACTCTCAGTGTTCACACATGGGCTGTCAGCCAACATGCACACCTTCCTCCATCCCCAGGACATCATCAACTCCATGAGCAACAGCCCTGCCACCAGCAAGCCCCCAGTGACGCTGAGGTTGGTGGTCCCCGCCAGCCAGTGTGGCTCCCTGATTGGCAAAGGCGGCTCCAAGATCAAGGAGATCAGGGAGGTAACAGGACCCTTCCCAGCCTGGTGGGTGCTGAGCCACTGGGTGGGTAAGAAGGCATGTGCAGAAGCGTCAGGCACTGCAAGGAGGGCGTGTTCCCCGACTGGGGATAGGCAGGGACCTCCTGGGACAGAGCAGATTGTAGCATCCTGCCTCAGTCATGTGGCTCTGGGGCACAGAGGCTCTGCACAAGGGCCTTGTGGTCTCTGCCCCCAGTTTCCTGGAAGAATAGGAAACAGCCCTGTTGAGATAGAGTTGGCAGGAGCTGCGGACTCTCTAGTCGCATGTTCATGCATTTCAAGGAAAGCCTGATCCTTCCTTCCCAGAAGGAGGGCGGCCATCCAGTCTTCATTCCTTTAAGGAAAGAGACCACAAAGTTTAAGCCCATCTGGAATCCATCTTTCCCTGTGACCTAAAACTCCACAGAGGAGATAGAATTCCACATATTTGAAAAAAAATGACTCCCTTTCTGTCTTCGTCTCCTGCAAATACCTATCTACCAGTTAAAATGCCTCCTAGGCAACGGTGCTCACTCTACACCAGCTCGGTGCTGGATAGCAGCGGGCTGAGACAGAGGAGAAGTGCCCACGGGGCTCCCCAAGGGAATATGCAGAGGGCTGGCTGCCCAGACCGGCCCACATGGAGGGGGCAGCATGGGGGTAATGTCGGGTGGCTGCCTCCTCCTCTCTCTGCCATGCCCCTTCCAACATCTAGTTTCTCCAGTCCACAGGTGCCCAGGTCCAGGTGGCCGGCGACATGCTGCCCAACTCCACGGAGCGGGCAGTGACCATCTCAGGGACTCCTGACGCCATCATCCAGTGTGTCAAGCAGATCTGTGTGGTCATGCTGGAGGTACAGTCTCTGCATCCATGCTTGTGGCCGGCCTGTCCTCAGTCCAGGCTGGCTGTGGCTTCTTAGTATCGGTGGCGGCAAAGGCTTTGGTGCCTCAGGGTCCCTGAGGACTCTTGAGGTCAGGGCTGTGTGGGGACCAGGTGTCAGAAATGTGATCCAGGTCCCTGATCCAGGCCCAAGGCCATCTGAGTGGAAGCCATGCTGGGTGCCGTGAATGGGACAGCACTGGTGCTTGAGCCCTGTAAGGCTGGTCCATCATCTTCATTGGGATATCAGGGGAGAGAACACAGGGGGAGGCATGTGCCCTCCCTTTATTTCTGGAACTGGAAAAGTTATTAGTTCATGATGTGAGGTTCCTTTAGTAAAGGGTTGGGCCTTAAAAATGGTGCAAGTCTGCAGTGGAGACAGGTTTCCTCTGGAAATGATTTTGCGCTGGAGAGGAGTCTGGTTCTGCGCTAGAGAGGGGTCTGGGTCTGCGCTGGAGTGGGTTCTGGGCCTGCACTGGAGAAGGGTCTGGGTCTGTGCTGGAGAGGGGTCTGCACTGGAGGAGGCACTGTGCTGGAGATGGGAACTGGAGGTGGAAAGGCTGCTTGCTATGGACAAGACTCCTCCTGCTGGACCAGCTGAAGGCATCTGAGCCCCACCAAGGTACAAAGGGCAGGACTTAGGAAAAGCACATAAAGTGCCCGAATTGTAAAGACAGAGAAGTAAACAATAAGATTAAAAGCCGAAGGAGAAGCAAAGAAGGTGCAACTGAGCAAGACAAAGCTTTCTTGAGGTTTTGAGGGGAAAACCCTGAGATTTAAATTTCAACCAACATCCAAAATGCAACAGAGTCATTGAAACAATCAGTAGTGAGTCATTGAAACAATCAATAGTTAAGCTAAAATGAAGTAATCCTGCCTCAAATGAAAGGTTCCAACAGTTGTGCTGGTGCCAGGCTGCCTGGCCCCTCCTCCTCCCCCATGCTCACGGTCCCTGGCTTTGAGGATCTGCTCGAGTACCCACCACAACAATCTCCCGAGGGAACTGAAGCCTCCCTGGCAGCTGTGGGCTTATCTTTCTTTTGTACTTGACTTGGTGTTAAAACCCATGACCAAGTCTTTTAAAAAATTTGTATAGTTTTTATTTTCTTGAAGTATATTTTGTGAAGTCAAAAATATTTTTCTAAACGTTGTTCTGATGTTTTCCCAATGGGTGCTAGCGGTATTCCCTTTATTCCCCGGCTGCTGGAACACTGGAGGGGCCACAAGGGCAGTGACAATAGGCCTGGGGCTCTTGAGTGCTGGTGGTTGCTCCTCTGTTAAGCAGCAGTGGGCACCTCAGGGTGGCAGAGTGATATGCACAGTTCCAGTATTGGCACAGCCGCCCACATTCCCGATCCAAGGGTCAGAACAGAACTTGTGGTCCCCTCAGAACTCTTCCCAAGTGGCATTGCTTCTGCCACATTCATGGTCAGGCAGCCCTCAATAGCAGCCTTAACCTTCGTTGACTATGGGGCTCTAGCACCCCCCAGGCCATGCCTGGAACTGCCCTGTCTCCTTCCTGATGGCTGGAGGCTTATGTAGACGGTGAATGGTGAAGTACACATGACAAATATGAATTATGAACATTGAGCTGAGGTAACGCCTTGTTCTTGTTGGTGACATGAAGCTCTCGGAGGTCAGAAGCAGCCATCCTACCTCGGGAGGAAGATTCCTTGCACCTGGAAAGAGTTGGGTCCATTTGTAAGTGAAGAGTAACTGGACAAATAGAGCAGAAGGCCAGAGGACCCCAGGTGTGGTTATGGGGTGGACCTCACACCCTTGAAATTACCACCAAGACCCTGGGTGAGGGCGAGCTGGGTGGGGTCCAGTGGAGAACCACGCACAGCTGCACCGTTCCCAGGGAGGAGCTGGACGGGGAGCTGTACTCAGACGGCCTCTCCTCCATCAGAGGAAGTTGGGAATCAGGAATCCCAAGCCAGAATCAGCAAGATGGCCTGGAAGAGCTCACAGTACTGGGACTGCAGATGCTGCCATTGGTGGGGTCAGAGGGCACCATGGAGCAGGGGTGATGGGCTGAGTGATGGCATGAATAGCTCGATGCCCAGCTCAGGGATGGGTGCAGCAGCTGGCCTGAGTCTTCTGCTTGAAGCAGTGAAAACAGTCACTCATTCAGTCTTGGTTTAGTCACGATTTTTCCACAGTGAGCCCTCAGTCTTGTCTGAGACCACAGTAAACCCCGATTTGTACAAAGACATTTCAGGAGGTGTTCAGTCATAACTGCAGAAACACCCCAGACACCAGCGGGGGTCACTCACAGGCGCTCTCAGCACCCCTTCCACTTCATGGCGAGGTCAGACAGCACAACCAGGGTCACACAGTACAACCAAAGTCAAACAGCACAGCCAAGGTCACAGCATGACCAAGGTCACACAACCTGTTCAAGGTATGATGGGGCCTGGGCCACACAGTTGAAGCTACTGCCCATTCTGCTGTATCCACACGGCTGTGCGTCTTGGGTGGGGGCACTCTGATGTCACCCAGCTGTCCAGGTTGTGGGCTGGGCCTGTATGGGCGTGGCCTCCGGAACTCCCAGCAAGGACAGGCTTCCCTCGCCCCCCTTCCTCTGCCTCTGGCTTGTGGTGCCACTGACTCAGGAACCCCCAACTTTATCACTTGTCCTGGCCTGTGGCCTCTGCAGCCAGGGAAGACTACCCACCAGAGGGACAAGGAGGGCCTGATTGCCTCTGACCAGGGTGTTAGGTTGACCTTATTGAAGTCTGGGGCAGACTTCTGGAACTTGAGAAGGTCAGTCACCAGAAGATAAGAATCCTATATTTTTGGACACAAAATAATCAAAGGAAATTATAGCAAACCTCATCATGACTGTGGAATATTTCATTTGGACTCTAAGCTTTTTTTTAAAAAAATGGCTTCTTTTATAAATAGTGAAACTGATTGTTTCTAACTTTGCTGTGATGATGTCAGCTGGACATCACCACAGGCCAAGCAAGGCCCCTGGGGCACTGGGCCTGGAGTGCCCATGGTGGAGCCACACACAGCCCAGCTTCTTCCAGAGGATCCAAGAGGAAGGGAGAGTTTTTCTCTCAAGACAGCCCCAGGCTAACACACATGTGGAGCAACAGTGTCCAGGCCTGGAGGCAGCCATCTGGCCACCTGTGCAGCATGGGGGTCCCACGGGCAAGGACAGGGTCACGTCTTTCCTTCTTGCCTTGTTCACAGACCCACACTCCTCAGCGTCCCGCTGGGGTGATTGGCACCACGTGGGGCGATTAGGGCAGTGGTTAGGAGGAGGGAGGTGACCTGGAGGAAACCGGGGTGAGGGCATGGTTTTGGGCAGGTGCCCTCCCCCCCTGGGGCATCCCCACCCCTCCGGCACTGGGGGACCGGGGCAGGTTGAAGTACAGTGGCGGGCGGGCGCAGGAAGGAAGCCTCCCCACCCTCATGACTGTCATGCTACAGACTGTCTAACGTTCTCTCTTCCTCTCCTGTCCCTTTTCCTAGTCCCCACCGAAAGGTGCCACCATTCCCTACCGCCCAAAGCCCGCCTCCACCCCTGTCATTTTTGCAGGTGGTCAGGTAAGAGCCGACCCGCTCGCGGCCTCCACTGCCAACCTCAGCCTTTTACTGCAGCCCCCGCCGCTGCCCGTTAGTGCACTCAGGTTTTCTCCCTTCTCACGTGCACGTCTCCCGCCCCTCGAGCCCTGGACGCAGAGCTCTCCTGCCCGCTGCCAGGCACCAGCAGTGGGCAGCAGGGTAGACATGGGTTGCCTTGTGTAAAAGGCTGGGTTGGGGGGTGTCCAGCAGACAGAAAGGGCCAAGGCAGATGCCCTGTGGAGTCAGCCCCAGAAACATCTCCCCGACCTGGCACGGGAGGACCCTGGTTCCATGCTCACACCAGTTCTGCCTGGCTGCGCCTGCTCAAATCTAGTTCTCAGGTGTTTTTAAGACGTTTAGACAGGAGGGCCAGGAGCATTGCAGGTGACTTTTATGACTCCTGGTTTAAACAACTAGGACAGAAAGAGCTAGGGTCCCATTTTCCCCTGAAACACATGTTCCCAACTTCCCAGAGATGCGTTCCTAGGAGCACATGAAGGAAGAGATGCCCGGCTGGACAGGAGCCTTGCCATTCACAGCAGGCGGGAGTGTCCGTCCGCTTCACACACCTGTTGTTTTGCTGGAGCCACTGTCCTCCTTGCTCTCCTTCCAGGAAGGGACCTAGGAGGCCAGGGTCACAGAGAAATTTTATGCAAGACCAGCAGTTAACTTAGTAGGACCTAGAGAGAGCTGAGGAGGAGCTGTGCCCAGAGGTGTCTGAGCAGGAGCTCGGTTTGTCTCACTCACCTCAGGGTCGCTAAGCTGCAGTAAATGGATGGACTTTGTAAACACCCAGCCAGTGGTGCCTGGAGGAGCTCTGCGTCCAGATGGCAGTGATGTGTGTCTTTGTTCAAGGGAGAGTTAAGATAGACTTACCACGGGGGATCTAGGTCAGGGGGGAACAGCCATGACTTTTTACTTTATCATTAAAAAAGAAAGGAAAGAGGCAAATAACAAATTTCTCCATGTTTTTCTTTACTATGTAAAGGAATCTTATCTGATCGTAGGTGAAGGACAGGGCCTGTGTTTCTACATCTTGAACAGCATTTGAGGGATGTAGTGGCTCCCACTTGTTCCCCCAGCTTCCCGTCCAGATGCTGCAGGCCCCACAGATGTCTGTACTTGGGACATCGCTCCCTTCCCCAGCCCAACTCAGGCAAAGTCCCCAATTTCCCTGACCTCTGCCTGAGTCAGACAAAGGACCTTCACACTCGTGTATCCTCCTACAACAGCCCCAGATTGGAAAGGGAGGCCCAGAGGCCGGGATCCGAGGACCCGTGGCTGTGCCCCTCTCCCCACCAACCTCGGGGATGGGGGTGGGAGGGGAGTCACAGCAGACCTTGTTCAGAAGTCTGTTTTCTTTCCCCCCACAGTTGTGGTTGGCTAGCAGGTTAGTTACTTGTGTGGTCTTGACCCTAAGGTGGGAAAAAACCCACAATCGTACCACTCGGTGAAGTGTTTTCAGAAGGGAGGCACATTAATATTAACACAAACAGGGGTCCAGGAAGCCCTGTGGTCAGCACCCCACCATCCATCTCATCTTCTGATCTGTAAAGCAAGGACAGTAGGCCCACCTCTCAGTCACCGTCATTATCGGCACCTGTCCCGAGGCTATCGCCAGGCTGTTAACGTCTTAACCCCGTGCCTGTGCCATTGGGACAGTCTCCTCTAGCCAGTGGCTAGTCCTGGTCCTCTGTGGGGAGACATAGTCACATGAGAGTCACCACTACACTGCAGGTAACGAGGCAGAGGAACCACAGTACAGACACGGAAATGAGGATATAAATGAGACCTAAGGCAGCGAGGTGTCCCCTCCAAATTCAGACTACACACTGCCCACGTAGGACACCTACAGATCTGGACTTCAGAGACGTGTGGCCTGAGAATCTCACACCGACTTAAGCTGTGTCTTCACAGCTGCCTGTGGTCGGGACACGCCCCTGGAGATCTTGGGGACAGAGGAGGTTTACAGCTTGTCTGGCAGGCACCCTGCTACAGAGAAGCAGTTCCCACTTTTCCAACTGGTAACAGATGATACAGGCTTCATCTCGGCTGAACACTTGATCTGTCTGTCTGCCTCTGCTCTACCTCTCCAGAGGGGACGGTCATGCGCACACACAGTTTAAACAGAACTGAAGACCACAGCCACCTAAGTGAAGGGAAGATGAGTCAGAAACTTAAGATGTGAGGCAAAGACTTGCCCTGTCAGGGTGCATATATATTTCCACTCAGACGTGCAGGGCTGTGGTGCAGCAAGCCAGGCCTGTCACCCTGCCTGGCTCTGTGGGGGCAGTATGTGTCCCAGGTCAGTGTATGTTTGGTGACACATTGGACCATGGCCTGGTGGCACCTCTCAAAACCCTGAAAGTGAGGTGTAGACACAGCTCCTGCGGACTCATAACACAAGCACCAGCAGCACCACACTGCCTTTTCCCCAAGACACTTGCTCTATCTGATAAGATTCCTTTACTTCCCATGAAGTGCCAGACTGGGGCCTCTCCTCCTGTGGTCCCTGTCCAATGGCTGGCTGGTCTTTAACTCCCAAGCAGAGCTGTTTATGATGAAAACTGAGCAGATGCAAAACCTGCCTTTTGGCAGAACCTTGGAAACCACCCTCAGTTTGGGGTCCATGGAAGTGACTCTTGATGGGCTTGAAGTTTCCCTGGGATTCACAGGAACCCACATGGGTGGCCATCAGGTGTGCACTTAGGACATGACATGGGGACCCCACATGGCCAGGTGCTAGAAGCCATGTCCCTTTACACCTGAGCCAGCCCACGCCTACAGGCCTGAGTGTAACTAGCCTGGGGCTGGTGTATACATTCCACGTCACCGAGGCCTGATGGCAAGTGTTTGGTCTTTACTCTCCCTTGACTCTGTGTGGTTTGTTTTTTGGCCATGAGTTTCTGGAAGCATCTTAGCTGGTAGACTATTGATGGGGTGGGCGGGGCCTATTCCTGTCAGTGGGGTTGTGTAGGGACTGGTGGGAGAGGCTGCAGGGCCCCACACTCACTGTAGCTGGTCCCAGTGACTGTCTTGAAGGCCAGTGAAACTATGATACCAAACAAGTCTGGGGACCCCCTCTCCCCCCTCCCGGGAGTTGTGCCATGAGTGTGCTACCCCCCAAGTCAGAACAACCACCCTGTCCTCAGAGGCTAGAAGATGAACTGGTCAATCTTGTGACTGACTTGGGTGCATTTTCTTACTTTTGCAAAATTGGTGGTGTCACCTTTTAAAGGCTTCTTTTTTTGTTTGGTTTCCTTGGAGTAAATATTTCCTAAAAGTGTTTACTCTCATGGTTAAATTATCAAAAGGTTAATGATTAGTAAACTATAACAGGGTTCAGATCATTTTTAGATATTTTCTTTGAAGAAACTGGGGTGGGGGGCGTTAGAAGCATTCGGGGGTGAGTCATTTCCCTCCCTCCCTTTTGACTTGGCTTAACTGCAGGCCTCTAGAGCGGGATACAACTCCCTGGCTCCAGCCAGCAAGGGGCGCTGTCGAGGCTTGACTCCAGGTCACTCTCCTTCGTCCTACAGGGTTGGGGCAGATGGAGATGCGCCCTGGGAGGGGGACAGCTGTAAACAGAGGGTTTGGGGCCCGTTCACATGAAGGTCCCACCCAGGAGAAAGCAGGTTCTGCAGGGGAGGGCCACTACTTCCCGAGCTGACAGTGTTTCTCTCTCTAGGCCTACACGATCCAGGGACAGTATGCCATCCCGCACCCAGATGTGAGTTTTCACTTTGTTTCCCTTCCCTCCTTTTCTCGTTACCATTTACTACCTGCATGCTGCTGTGAACTGCTACAATATTAATATTACGCAATAATATTAATACCTAATGTTCCTGACCTCTGTCGTATCCATATGACCTTGAATAACCTCTAACCTCTTAGCACTAATTCTACTCACGTGGAGGACTTGGCCTGATGTCAAATTGTTTTGATCGTTGCTGCTGTGGGGGCCTTCCTCCACTCACGGGGACTCCTTGTCCCCAGCGCCTGCCCCCCTCCCCCCCATGGGCAGGAATAGCAGCGTCTTACAAGCACCTACGAAGTGAGGTGACATGCTGTCAAACAGGTCTGAGATGTGTCACAAAGGGTATTTAAACATCTAGGGAGGCTACACTCCCGCTTTGAAGCCCTAGTTGAAACAGGCTCTGCACGTGTCTGAAGGCCAGTGGTGACAGGCCTCGGTTTCATCCTAGAGTTACTAACGTCAGTGCTGGAGAGCAATGACGACATTCCAGATGCACTTGGGGAGGAGCATCCTGGACTTCTGTGGCCTGGGGGCCAAGGGAGCCACATGCAGCTCTTAGGGCTGAGATATGCGGCAACAATGAAGAGCAGAGGGCTTTCTCCCTTGGGTTTAGATATAGCGGATAAATTGGGTGACACTAGCTGGTGCCAGGAAGAACGGGGTGTGGAAGGAGGGAAGGGAGAGGAAACAAGAAAAAGAGGAAGAGGCCAAGGCCGGCAGTTGATTTTGCTGCTTTTGGCAGGTGGAGCAAACCTGCAGCCAGTTTTGAGAAGCATTTTTCTTGTCTATCCCGCCCTTGACATTTGCTGAGCTTCAAATCCTTCCGCTCTGTTCCTGACAGGGAGGTGCCACCAGGCAGGCGAGCCTGCCCTGGGGTCTTCTGCAAACCCTTGCACTTTGAATTGGGCAAGTGAGGGAATAAAATGCAAAGGCAGAGCAGGGGAGGGTTTTTAAGAAGTAACTTGGGAAGGTACCAAGGCTCCATCTCCCTTCCAGAAGCATGCCCAAGCCTTTCCCTCTCCTTCCCCCACAGGCATGCATCTCCTAAACTCTAAGAGACCCACTGAGGCTTGCAATCAGGGAGCAATAGGCAGTGGCAGCTAGTCTTGGGCTAACCCCCAACCTTGTCCCCAAGGCCCCCTCTTTTCTGACTTCTTAGCAAAAGCACCTGGCCTAGGCTTATTTCCCCACCTACTCTCTCTTCTGTTGTTTCTTCTATCCTAGACCCTTCCTTGTTTCACTGTCCCCAGCTTAAAAAAAAAGTAACCAACACTGAGTATTGGAAATACAGAGATCAGTTCACTATCACTGAAGGAAATTTTCTATTGAGTAGAAAAGAAATACTGATGGTTTCTCTCTCTCTTTTTTATTCTTATTTTTTAAAAAACACATCTTAATAATCCATACAAGTAGGAGTTAAATGATAGAGTATGCAGTTAAGAAACGTCCCTCCCTACCCATCACACCCCCAAGGCCATTTTTAAAGGTTCCTGGTTTTAACCCTGCAGTGAGGATGGTGTAACTCTAAATCAGTGGTGGGCACACCTGCCTGCCCCCACTGGGAAGCCAGCTTCCTCCCGTCCAGGTGTGCTGTTAGGGCTCCACTTGTTAAATAGAAGCTGGGTCGGGGCACAGCTCTCCATCATTGAGCGGTTGGTGGGGCTCACTCCTGTCCCCCTACCTGCCCACCCAAGACCACCTCAGCCTCCCCCTTGAGGACAACTGCTGATACCTGGCCCTGCCAGTGATTTCCCCATGTACCCCATTCTCTGTTATTTGGGATGCTCTTCACCTTTCTGTGAATTTATTTTAATCAGATCTCGGGGGGGG